AGCTTGAGTTCCTCTGCATAGCACCAACTTCTTTTTCTTGGCCCCAAGGCATGCGTCTCAATGAGAAAGCATGAGGGAATGATGAATCCAGCATATCCTGAGACCATTTTGCCTATATACTTAATGCTGCCTTGAAATTCTGTCCAAATATGGTCCATGAATGATAGGGCCACATTTGGACAGAATCAGATTTGGACGCATCAGTCCGAATTACACGTCCAAATGTAATTTGGACATCAGTGTCCAAATGCGATTTTTATTGTGATAGGCAGAGTAAGCCATAGTATATAAGAAATAAGATTAGATATATACCATGGCACTGCTCATTTATATTGATATGGGAAATATGCCCATATGAATGAAAATTAACTATTTCTTATATGAAGCAAGGTATAAAGTTGGAAGTCTGTTCATCACCATGAACTGATGAGAACTGGAGTAGCATGTATGATCTGATATGCCTAAATAATTCTCACCTCACTGAACCGCAAATGTGATAGACCTCTATAGTGATTGTTAGATTTAATAACAGAAAGGAGTAAGGAAGCTTTGAATTACTAAATATTGATAACATTTCTTGAAGAACAAAATAAATGAGCATTTCATAATAGGCACAGTATTAACTTATCTCTACTGTGGTCTTAGTAGCTAAACACATCTTGCCTTGTCATTCTCTTAACATTCTCACCTTGTGTTCAAATATACATTTTACGTTTATGTGGCCGCAAAGAAAGCTATGATTCTCATAACATTTATATCCAAGCTGTGTATGAAAGTCGCTATACATCCAGTTATGGTGTCAAGAGAATCTCAATATTTTATAGCAATCACCTGTTAGTCAAATGTCCCTTCTTCCCAGGCTGATTAGAAGCCAGTGTCCCTGGGACAGTTGCTTAGTGGAGAAAGAGTCACAGTTGGTCTTGTTCAAATCCAGGTCAGATTAAAAAAAAAAAAAATGAAAGCCCTTTGGGGTGGGTGGGAGAAGCAGTTTAAATCTCTCCATGGAACTGGCTTTTGGTGGGAGACAAGCAGGAAAGGATGATCATCGTGACTCTCCATTAGAACAGATGCAGCAGGTCAAAATAATCACAGTTTGGAGTAAAAAACAGTAAGTGCTGTTCACAGAGATGGCATGGCCTGACAGAGAGTATTTATTCTCTGGGCTGTGTTCTGCCACATCACAACTGCATCATTTTGTGACAGCCTTTCTGAGACAGATTTCCTCATCTGTAAAATGGGTTAATGATAGGAAGCTTTCAGGACCATTTTGTACATAGATATGAATATATAGCCTAGGATGATGCTAGAACATAGCGAGTTTGATAATTGATGCCCAATGTCCACAGATTTCCTCAGATCTTAGTTACTCGTGTTGCCAGCTTACCAGCTCCCGTCTGCAGGGTAGCAATGCCTCCCTTCCCCACCAGTAAATTCCCCCACAGGTATTTCTGGAGGTTTCAACAGTGTCACCACATTGCACAAGAGACCAAGTTGCTCTTGTTCTTCCATCTTCCTCATGAGGTCACCTTACATGTCTCTTGAGAGAGGATCCTTCCTTACAGTTCTGCTCCCAGTGCCCTCTGGCAGAACACCACTCTGACCAAAGTCCCAGTCAGAGACCCCCAAGAGGCCAGCACTGTGCAGTGGATGAGAGCAGAAAGGAGAAGAGGCCCTTCGACCTTTTTCATCCAGACCTGCAAGCAGCCTTATGTGTGATTCTGAAAACAGACCCGTCTGCTTCCTCTGCTTTAGTCTCAGGATAACCTTGATCTTGGGATCATGTGGGGAAACCACATTGCTGTCCAGGCATTATCTCATCCTCCCAAGGAGCCTGTGAGGTTGCTATATTTAACCCCAATTTATAGATGAAGAAGCTGATACTAGGGAGATTCAGAACAGCACCCTTCCTCCCCTTTTACCTCCTTTAAGTAAATACCTGGGGTATCATCAGCCTCAGATACCCCTGCCCATGAAGACAAGCCCCACACTTCCTGCAAATGATAGCAATTATTATTAGCATCCCAGTCTAAGTCAAGTGAGGCCAGAGTTTACGTTGACCCAATAATGAGTCCAGAGAAGTATGCAGAGTAGGAACTGAAGTACAGACATCGGAGTAACAGGGAGAGAAGGAGGGGGGTAGGGAGTTCCAAGACTAAGGAAAAGAGTTTTAAAAACCAAAATATGGTGATTATAAAAAGTAATGTAGAGCAGATGACTCTAAGAGAATATATCATCTTTTTTATTAATCTTCTTTTCAAAAGCTTTTCTTACAAGGCACCAGCTACTTTTATCATACATTCCCCCAAACTCCCTAAGCTGATCCCATCTTTAAAAAAAAAAAAAAAAGGAAAAAAGTAATGCCATCATCCAGATAAGGAGCAAGACTTTCTCTTCTCCTTCATCTGCACTCCATTTCCTTCATTCATCTTTCATTCTCCAACTACAGGTGGGAGATCTTTGAGGAACTATTTTTTGGTGAAGGAAGTTTTGATCTCATTCTACAAGAAATCTCTAGAGATTACTTTCAAACTAAAACCAATTTCATACCCAGTCCCATGGAATAAAAAGCTAAATGAGAATAGTCCAAGAACATCTTTCCAAAAAGAAGGTACACTAACTATACTTGCTCAATTACTACCAAGAAGTATTCTCTTTCTTAAACCAAGAAATAAAGAAGAGAATTGCTCTGTTGATAATGCTTTGTGTTGTTTATCTAGGGCAAGTGAAAGATACTCTGGTTATCAGTCCCTTTATGTGTCAAGCATAATTTTTCATGGGAGACGTCAGTTATATTTTAGCAAAAGACCAAATTCAATTCCAATTCTCTTAGCAATAGTATTTCAAGTAATATAGGAAGAGCAAGGTGTTGATGAAAAATAAAGGAAAGTGCATTTTAATAAAATGGAATAATTCACAAGTATTACTAATCCATTTTCTTCTAATATTTTAGATCGAATGTTCTAAATTATCCAGCTTATGCTTTGGGTTTTCTGAATTTTCCAAATTACATGTCTATTTACTGCTGATGTATGAAAAGCAAGGAGAGGTGAGACCAACAAGATGTGTGCATACACAGCAATAGAAAAGATGATGTGCTACCATTTCACTTTTCTTTTTGTGTCTTTCTTTTTTTTTAAGATTTTATTTATTTATTTGACACAGAGAGAGAGAGAGAGAGAGAGCAGGAACACAAGCAGGGGGAGTGGGAGAGGGAGAAGCAGGCTTCCCGCCGAGCAGGGAGCCCGATGTGGGGCTCGATCCCAGGACTCTGGGATCATGACCCGAGCCGAAGGCAGACGCTTAACGGCTGAGCCACCCAGGCGCCCCACTGTGTCTTTATTTCTTATTAGCAGTTTGGAGTGATCCATAGATCATGAAATTAATAGACATTGAAAACTTTCCTGGTTACTACCACCCACCTAGGTTCCTTTTCTCTGAAGCCTATTCTCCTTTGACCAGAATTCTCAGCAGAAAGGGGATCTGTGGGGTGCCAGGGGGGCTCAATGGATTAAGTGCCCGACTCTTGATCTCCACTCAGGTCATGATCTCAGTGTCGTGATAACGAGGCCCGTGTCAGGTTCCGTGCTGGGCAAGGAGCCTGCGTGAGATTCTGTCTCTCCCTCTGCTCCCCCCCACCCCACACACCTGCTTTCTCTCTCAATAAATAAATAAATAAATAAATAAATAAATAAATAAAGGGAGTGGAATGGACATGGAAACTCCTATGATGTTCAGGCACTCTATTATTGGCACATCTGTATCAGCTGAATATATAGAAGTCTTGGAAAAATTTACTTTTTAAATTGAAATAATGGGGGTGCCTGGGTGGCTCAGTCATTAAGCATCTGCCGTGGGCTCAGGTCATAATTCCAGTATCCTGGGATCGAGCCCCGCATCAGGCTCCCTGCTCTGCAGGAAGCCTGCTTCTCTCTCTCCCGCTCCCCCTCTTATGTTCCCTCTCTCGCTGTCTCTCTCTATCAAACAAATAAATAAAATCTTTAAAAAAATAAATTAAATAAATGGAAATAATGTACTGAAATTTGAAATTCATATTTTGTTCATTACTTTTTTCAGTAATATTTTTAAAGATGTTCACTAATTATAGGACTGATAATTTAGGGATTATTTAGTTATTAAAAGTGAAAATATGTGTATTAATGCCTATGGATCCACCTCAAATGTTTCTTCATATTTAGTGTCTTTTTTCTTCACATGCTAGCTGTGAACTTTAGTTTGGTGCTATATCCAAAAACCAAGAGCAGATGAGACACCTAAAAATATCCTCATTTGCATCTGTTTCCCTTCCTTATGAGAGGGAGGGTCATCCCTCCTGATTTTGCCTTACAACAAGAAAATAACTAAGACAATTTGGGAATTAATTCATCGTTCATCTCTCATGCTAGCATGTCAGGCCCTCCATCATTTGGTTCAAATTGATGCTAAATTGCAAGAGAACAGAACAGGAGTCTTTGGCATTTTTCCACTTCATGTAGTTCCTAGCAGAGGTGATTAATAAAAGGCTCTTGGATGTGGCTTGAAAAACTTGGTTAAGTGAATTAGATCCTCTTTACTTTGTCTTCTTACACAAAACATAGCATTATGGGGCTCATATTTTTTAAAGGTAGTGAAATAAAATATAACAAAATTACCACATATTTATAAAATATGGATCTCTTCCTTCCTATAAAAATTTAAGATCAGTTCTCCAGAATGAAAGAGAGAAACATGTATAGATGCAAATCAATTCTCTATTGGTTTCTTATTACCACATTAAAGAGAAAATCTGAGGATGTAAGTTATGACTTAATTTTGATTTTGAATGCATACAACTACCTAATGTACATAAAATAACCATCACGGAATGAAACAGATACATCCAACAGCTTGCTGCATTTAAATGATTTTAAAATAAGTGCTTGTAAAAAGTCAATTTTTGGTGTTTTGCTGCTTAGGAATGAAACAAATCACAAATACGTTTTTATGTTGATTTTCTTTGACAGGACTGGGAATTCCCACATTTTATGGGAGATGTTGATGTAAATCTTCCTGGGTTGCACACTCCTCACATGCAGTTCAAGATTCCTTTCTTCCAAAAGATCTTCAAGGAGGAGTATCGTATTCACATAACAGGTATGCTGTAACTTTGAACATGATTTGACTGTCTCCTACTTAGAGTAATACCAGCTGCTATAAAAAAGCAAGTGGGGGGGGCGCCTGGGTGGCTCAGTTGGTTAAGCGTCTGCCTTCGGCTCAGGTCATGATCCCAGGGTCCTGGGATCGAGCCCCACATCGGGCTACCTGCTCGGCGGGAAGCCTGCCTCTCCCCTCTCCCACTTCCCCCGCTGTGTTCCCTCTCTCGCTGTCTCTCTCTGTCAATTAAATAAATAAATAAAATCTTTAAAAAAAAAAAAAAAGCAAGTGGTAACATTTTAGAGGCATGCATACATCTAGTTTTATTTCTCACTCACTCAATAGCGCAAGGTGGTTCTGGGTCAGTTAGGGGTTCCAAACTATCATTCTGGGACTTGGGCTACGAGCGGCTTTAGTCATTTGGATTTCAGCATCCAGCAGGCAAAGGGGAATGGCGAGAATGGGGAAAAGGACGAAGAAGGCTTCTCTTTTTCCCTAATCACCTTGACATATGCCCTCTAGTAGCTCATCAGAGAGCCCAACTTAGAGTCAAGGAAGAAATGTGGTCCGCGGTTGGGCAGCCCCTTCGGTGTCACATCTGCTGTTCTCGTGGGAGGCCGCAGTTTCGGCGTGGATAGCTAGCTATCTCTGCCATCCTCCACATACCCCTCCACCTTGGGTTCCTTCATGAGAAGAACCTTCTTGGTTGCTTTCTCCCACAACATACAGCTCAGTATGTTTTTTCACCATCAACACCCTTTTTACTGCATTCCTCAGTTACTGCTGAGATTGGAACAGTGGTATCCGAGAGCGCCAGTCAGACCCTATGCCTTTAGGGAGTTAGGCCACTTTTCATTTGATCAAAACCTCCTTCTGTGGCAGAGCTCATGTTTCTCTCAGGTGAGTCGCTTGCAGATCCTCAGATTCTTTCATTTGCAGAGATGCCCTCCTTTTGAAACGGCTCCGTTATGATTTATTATAATATTCCTTCATGACATCTCAGTCATTCTTGTCTGAAGAAGGTCTTCCTGAAGTTCTGTTTTATACCTTTTTTTTCTCTCCCAACCAGAGGCAGACAGCTAAATGATCACATAAAGGGTGGCGTCAGCTCCCAAGCTGTTCAAATGTACGTAGTGAACGTGTGTGTGTTTTAAGGACAATGACTTAGGATCCCACACCTGCTATAATAAAAACTGCTGAAGAAATCCGTGCTTACACTACCGTCTGTGCTGCTGAGTAAAAATAGCCCGAGCACAGAAACGTGAATATCTGAGTCTTGCAAAAAGCCTTTGCTTCCCAACTTGAAGGCTGGTTTTTGCTTTGAGCATGAGGCGACCTTCCTAAACTGGAGAATGAGCTCATGAATAGGGAAGATGCAGCAGGTTTCTTTTCCTATTTAAAATGAATGAGGCCCATCTATTAAATTCACTGGGTAAATCAATCAATTTGAGTTCAGGTCACATAGTGTGGTTTCAGAGTCCCCACTTAATCTCTGCAGCATGCTACCCTCTCGGACTTCTCAAACAGCTATCACACAAATGGCATCATCATGTCCCTTTGGGTGGGCTTTTGCGTGGACCATCTGTTCTTACTATCAGCTCTTGTCCCAGGCCACCATGGCACTAATATTGTTTCTGAATATCAGAATCCCCGTCAAATTGTACTGCTACAGTGCATGCTATCAGGTTAAAAAGGGGGTGGAATATTCAGAGGAACCCACTGGTAAGAAAAAAATCAAGCTATTAAAAATATTTCATTTGGGGGTCGCCTGGGTGGCAGTCGGTTAAGCGTCTGCTTTTGGCTTAGGTCATGATCTCCAGGTCCAGGGATCAAGCCCCATGTCAGCCTCCTGGCTCAGCAGGGAGTCTGCTTCTCCCTCTCCCTCTACTTCTCACCCTGCTTGTGCTCTCTCTGTCTCTCTCGCTCTCAAACGTATAAATAAAATTTTTAAAAAATATTTAATTTGGAGCTATTTGGCAGGGCTTTGATATATATGCTATGATATATGCTATCATTTATGGACAGGGACAGGTTCAGGTTCTGTGGTGCCCAAAGCTTACCCAATCTGGAGTGCTCTAGTTAAGAATATAAAAGCAAAATTACGACTAAAAATTACTTTCAGTGCCTTGGAAGAAGGACACGCATACAGGAGTCCTTGAAGCTTCAATGTAATTAGCTTTGAGATAAAGCCTCCTATGCAGTTGAGCTAAAACCTTTATTCCACCATGTATTACTTTCCAGAAGCTTAAAAGGAAGAAAGACTGGCTAAGTTCTTGTAATGGAAACTGCACATTAATAACGGTTGTGAGAAGGTGGAAATATATTGTAGTTAAGGTTCTGATGCAGTGTTTGCCAAATGATGCTGAAAATCATATCATTCGAGATATATATTTATAAACATTGTTGGGCCCCATTCCTAATAGTTCCAACTCAAGAAATTTGGGCCAAGGCCAGGGAATGGGACTTTAGAAAAGCACCCCCAGGTGATGGCCGTTGGGAACTGCTCCTTGGTGCTGGAGAAGCCACAGGTGAAGCTGGACTGTCTCCCTGCGATGGGCCATGCAAATGATTGGGTTCCCAGATCTGCCAGGAAGACCTCTGAGGATTCTGGAGTTTAAATCCAAAATAAAATAGGGCACACGTGGGATTTGGGATGAAGAGTTCCACCATAAACAATTTAAACCCAATTTATGGTAGGATGATCATGCGCCGCCCCAGATCCGTGATAAAAAAATTCTAGGAAAATGGTGGCAGGTGTGGAGGCTGAAGAAAGTCTGAACTGTTCCCCTCTTGTGTTGTTCTGTTACTCTCTTTGTTCTGTTAGTTGCTGAAGATGTGGCTGAGGACATTCTGAAGTAGCAGCGAGTTTCCTGTGAAAGGGCCTTTTTTTTTTTTATCTGACTTTGTAAGATAATTGTTTCTGGGGAAACCTAGATAAAATTTCCAAAAATATGGTACATGTTGTATTTTAGTATGCTCAGTTGTCAGTAGCCTGCAAATTCCCAAGTCAACTACAAACGCTAACTTGATCAGCTCCTCCAAGTTCTGCTGCTTTTTGTAGGGAAACTCAGTGCTTTCCTTGATGAGTAAATATAGTATTATCACTGGGTTATTAAGCATGAAACTCTCTATATCTATCGCCAGTGGTTCTCAGATTTCAGTGTGTATGAGAATCACCTGGAGAATTTGTTAAAAGGATCCATCAGCCTCATGTGCAGAGCCAGATGCCTGAGGTAGGAGGCGGAGCCTGGGATCCAGCCTTCTCTTAAGCATCGCCAGTGATACCTATACATGCTGCCAGAGGCCCTCTCTTTGACAACGCTGCTGCTGAGAAACACTTTCTACCGTCAAAATTTCTCTCATCTCAGCTTTATTTTCATATGCAACTCTTAAGATCAAAAGCCAAGGGGCAGAATGAAAATTCAAATAGAAATGGGGTACTAGTGAGAAGGGCACATGCTAGAGAGTCCTGCTGGAAGCTGGAAAGTTCAGAGCTGGGGCCAAGAAAAGAGGTCCCAAAGCAGAGTATGACGGGAAACATCTGGGTGACCACAGAGGAAGCGATCCTGTGGACCCCCAGACAGCTCCATCTATTGCTTTCTCTGCCTGTGTTTGTTCTGTACTAGAAGAGTCTGTGCAGACTCTGCTAGGGTTCTCCTGGGTTCAAAGATGGCTCCACCATGGCCTCAACTATCAATTCTCTGTGCTCTGGAAATGATGTTCAGTGCATGCTGAGAAAATGGAATGTAATGGTTTGGTGCCGGACTCTAGCTCAGCCACTGACTGTTGGTGTGGCCCTTGTCAAGCTCCTTAACCTCTTAGAGGCTCAGTTTTCTCATCTGTTAAATGGGGACAGTAAGGTTCTTGTCCCATAGGGTTGTTGTGAGATTTAAATTAATACGTACAAGGCCTTAAAACACTGCCATTTGGTAAGCACTCAGTAAATTCTCAATACTTTTACCTGCAGCTTTTGCTTTCAGAGTCCTGCCAGAGTTTGTTTTCCTGTTTAATTCAAAAATATTAGGTAGCCTGAGAGGGGCCTCTTTTATTATTTATCCACTATTCTGAATTCTCTACTGTTATCTACTGTTCTGAGTCAAGAAGGAGAAGGCTAAGAATGGAAAAAAAAATCTCTCTTCCAGTGAAGAGCTGTGTATGTAGAGGGTTATCTGACACTGATGAGTTCCCATTGACATTTTAAAAGCATTTAGGATTTGGGTATTTTCTAATCCTGATTCCATGCTAGTTTTGTTTATGCATTTCAGAAATGAATTGTTGCATCTGTTTAGCTCATCTGGATCCCCCTTGACAGATGGTTTGCTGCCATGTGTCTGAGCTTTCATTTTATAAGCTGGGCTGCAGCTTATAAAAATAAATCGTCTCTATCCAAGGGTGTGTTAAAATATTTTTTTCTGGGAATTTTGACTTCAGTAACAAAGGGGATAAATAGTTAGTGATTAGGTCACATCAGTGCTTTTAGCTCAAGCCCATTGTTCTTCTCTTAAACATAAATGCTAAATGTAACCGTGTAATTATTTCCTCTGGCCCCTTCCCTTTTACCTATGAGGTGAGTGCAAAGATGGATTCGAAATGTGACGTACTAAGTCTCTGGAGGCGAGAGAGGAATGGCCTCTCAATTCACTCTCGGAAGCTCCTCTGAGTCCTATTAATGCCAATCCCGGCGGAAGCTCTGCCATCTGTCATCCCAGCCAGACAAAGGAAGTGTCCCATTGGTGGCCATCATCTGAGTAAATTAGGAGGGGGTTGGGGGAAAGGCCAGAAGGAAGGCCTGTGCATCTGTGAGGAGAGAATTCACTCTTTTGGCACGATGGTGCCCATGGGAACCCTTTCGGCAAAAATGGAAAATGTAGAAGTAAACAAACCTCCATAGTGTCTGTGTTCTGTTCCAGCTTCCTGAGCGGTGTGAGGGCACAGGTGCCTTACAATGGCGAGAGTGTGAAAAATAATGAATAAAACCCCTCTGTTTTATTTCCATAGGT